GTCTGAGGGAGGGGGCTGGGCCTGGACCCTGGCTCTGAGGGAGGGGGCTGGGCCTGGACCCTGGGTCTGAGGGAGGAAGTGGTTGGGCCCTAGACTCCTAGGTTTCTTGGGGAGGAGGGGGCCGGGGGCCCGGACTCCTGGGTCCTGGCACCCACCCGTAGAACCGACCTTGCGGGGCCTTCGCCGCACACAAGCTCGTGTCTGTGGGTCTGTGTCGGGGGCTCACCATCGCGGCTGGGACCTCCCGGCCCTCCCCACCCTCCCTGTCCCTCCTTGCCCATCTGTCCGGTCTGTCCACCTACCGCGCCCCCCGGGCTGAGGTAGGAGGTTGTATAGTTGAGGAGGACACCCACGGAGATCACTATACGGCCTCCTAGCTTTCCCCAGGCTGCGCCCTGCACAGGACGGGGCAGCAGGGACCCCAGGCCTGTACCACTGCCCTGGGGACCTTGGAAGGAGCTGGGATGTCTGCCCTGTCCATGTCCCTGCACCTTGTCCTGGCCCTTCCAGTCTCTCCCACCAGGAGGTGGGTTTGCTTCCCCTCTTGCACTCCTGAGTGGTTCCTGGAGGTGCCCCCATCTCTCTGCAGGTTGTCTCTGGCTCTCTGGCTCTCACACACTCTGGTATCTCTCCCTGTCTCTGTTTGGTCTTCTTTCTGGCACTCAGTGTCCCTGGGTCTGTCTTCGTCTTTCCCCCATCCCCATCCTAGGGTCTATTGGGGCCACCACACACTGCATTGCCAGCCTCTGGGTCCCTGAGACCCTTTAACCTGTGAGGACGTCCAGGGTCACAGGTGAGGTTCTTGGGAGCCTAGCGTCTGGACCAACTACAAACCTAGGGACTGCAGGCTGACCCCTGGAACCCTTCCTGGGAGCCTGACATTTGACCACCAACTGGCCACTGCCCCTCCCCCACTGCAGTGACCTCACAAAGGTCACCAGCTTCTCCTAGGCCTTGAGACCCTCCTAGATGGCCCCGCTGTCCCTGGTGAGCGCTGTCCTAACTGCCCTGCTGGCCCTGCTGGTCCTCAGGGCATCCACCTGGGCCTGTCTCCTCTGCTTCACATCCTATGCTGAGCGCTTCCGCCTCTGCAAGATGTGGGCCCGGGGCCCCCAGGTGGAGCAGTGCCAGGAGGCCTTCACGGCTGCCTTCAAGGGCCTCTCCAACGTGGAGATCAGTAAGGACTCCACCCTGCCTGGACCAGGGCCCTGAGCAGGGGCTGGTGAGGCCGGGAGAAGGGCAGGGAGAGGGAGAGACAGACACAGGCAGAGGGAGAAGTGCCGGCCCAGAGGGCTGCCACAGCACCGGAGAAGGGAGTGGAGAGCTCAGAGCCGGGAGGCCACAGACCTGGAGAGTGGAGAGGCAGGGGCGGGAGGACTGCCCGAGGCAGTGATGAGGAGAGGCAGAGAAGGCAGAGGCTGGCGCCTGGTGCTGGTGGAGCTGCCTCCCAGCCCCTCGGGTCCCTCACCCTCAGACTACTGGGAGAGAAGCCACCTGCAGGACGCCTTCACCCAGATGGCCCATTCCCTCCAGGAAGCGGCGGCCGCCCAGGGTGAGTGTCTTGAGGGATTGGCCCAAAGCCCCCAGACTGAGAGGGCAGGAGGGACCCCTGGAGTTGGGCAGTGGTCTGGGCGAGGTGAGCCCTGAACTTGAGTGGCTTAGGTTATTCTTTGGGGAAAGGGAAAAGTGCAAGTACAACCCAGGCCACAGATGGCGACAAGGAGCCCAAGAGTGGTGTAGAAATCACCCCTGGCGAGGTCTGCTGTGTCACTCGCCTGGCCTCTGCTTACCCATCTGTAAAGTGGGACAGACTCCTGCCTCCCAGGGTAGTCATGGAGACAGGACACACAGACATATAGTCCTGACAGCCCATCCAGCAAGTCCGCAGCGGTGACGTATGAGGCTTATTGGGGGCAGGAAGACAGGTGGGGACAGCAGTGCCGATCATTCAGGTGATGTTCGTGCAGAATGGCTCCTGCCAGCATCGGGGTGGGAGCCACACGTGCGGCTCCCCAGGAATGCACAGAGTCCTGTGCAGAGACAGCCTGCTGAGGACACAGGGTGGCCAAGAGGCAGTTTAGCAGCAGTCACACCTGGTCACCTTGCCCACACAGCCCGTGTTCCCCAAACGTGCCAGACAGTGGTGCCCGGTGGGGAGGGCGTGCTGGGGAGGCCACAGAGCCCTGTTGCCAGGATAAACTGCCTCCTCTGGGGACTGGGAGCCCAGGGCTTGACTCTGCGTCCCCAGGGTGCCTCTGATCCCACCAAGCTTTATGTCAGAGAACCCCGAAAAGAGGTTCCCGTCCATCCAGGGGCGTCCAGGGACAGCCTGGAGAGGGTCTGCAGTGGATTCCCATCCACCAAGGGAGCCCAGGAGTCGGAAGGAGGGGAGCAGGATTCCCAGAAACGCCCTTTCCACGGGGCGGCCTATTGCAGGGGTTTTATGAAGACCAGGCCCACGGGAGACCTCTTTAGGCCTCGTGTGGGACTTACCTGGAGTGGAGTGCGTGGCTCTGGGGTGAGGGCCAGGCCAGCGGGGAGGAGGCCTGAGCAGAAGGGGACTCCGAGTGGGCCCTAGGGACTGGCTGCGTGGGGAGGGGAGGCCGAGTTGAGGACAGTGCCTGGGGTTCCGCTCCATGCCTGGGTGGACTGGGGTCACTCCTGAGATGAGGGGCGTGGGAACACGAGCTGGGGTGGGGACAGCGATGGGCCCTTAGGAAGGACATAATGACTTAGGGGGACATCCAGGAGGCAGCAAGATACCCAGATGCCAGGTTCAGGAGAGGACTCAGGAGACAGAGACTGCCCTGGGGGAGCTGGGGACTTGGGAGGGCCACGTGGGATGAAGAGGGTCAACTCTGGTGTAGCAAGGGCCTCCAGGGCCCTGTGGAGGACAGATCAGGGGAGAGGCTGGAGGCCGGGACAGGCGGTGCAGTACGTCAACTGGTGGTTACTGAATGTGCCAGGAATACCACTGGGGACACAGCCAAGCCCCAAACTGCACGCCACCTGCCCTCGGCTGCTTACTGTTGAGGGTCAGAGCACAGACAGTCAATGAAATAGTGTCAGTAGGTGATTTGTGCTGTGGAGGCAATCGGAGAAGGGAATGCAGAGATGTGTAAGGTGGGTTGGTCAGAGTGGGTGCAGATGAGAGGATCCAGTGGAGCAAAGATGGGATGAGGTTGTGAGAGCCAGAAGACCTGGAGAAATCGTCTCAGGAGGAGAAAACGGGCCAGTGGGTCTAGAGTACAGCTGAGCCTGGAGAGGTGGCAAGAGACTAGGTGGTATCAGTCCACGCAGACCAGTGGTCCTTCAGCCCTAGTAGATGTCAGAACCTCTCGGAGCTGTTACCAGGCAGGTTGCTGGGCCTGCCCTCTGTTTCTGACCAGCAGGTCTGAGGTAGGACCCAAGAGTAGACATTTTTACCAAGTTCACAAGTGCTGCTGATTCTGGCTTGGGCTCACCCAGGAGGCCTGCTGTGGGCCGTGGACTGGCCTGGTCTTCTGTTTTAAGGTGGGGAGCTACGGCAGGATGCTACCCAGAGACACAGGACTCCCTCTGGCAGCCAGGTGGGACACAGCGAGAGGTCTGCCGGTGGTGGCCTGCCAGTGGCAGTGGCCCAGGCCGGCCAAGATGAGGCCAGGGAGGGCTTGACCTGGCGCCAGGCCTGCCTCGCGCATGTGCATGGGAAGGAGCGTGTCCGCCCTGTGCTTGGGCTGATTACCGCCCTAAAGTGCATCCTGGTACCAGCTCTGGGAGGTGCAGCATCTCCGCCCCACTTTCCAGAGGGGCAAGCTGGGGCTCCGCTGGACAGGAAGGGCAGACTCAGATGTCTGGAGATGGACAGGTCCAGAGGCATGTTGTGGGGAACAGGAAGAACAACAGATGACTCCCCAGGGAGGACCGGAGAGATGGAGGGCAGGACTAGTGCTGCTCTTGGTGGCCACGGGGAGACCGCTCCTGTGTATGCACCGTGGGGTGGATAGTGGGGCAGGGTTGGCGTCCTTCACCCCCAGGTCTGAAATCTGACGTGCTCCACAACTGAAACTTTGAGCACCAACTTGACTGCACACCTGACCTCATGTGACAGGTGCACTCAAAATGCTGCATGTCAGGTGTGCGTGAAGCCCAAGAGGGGCACCATGCAGAGACTCGCGCCCCCTCTCTGACATCTCTCTTATGTACAAGCAACTATTCCAAAATTTATAAAACTCTAGAAATCGGAACACTTCTGGTCTCAGCACTTGGATGAGAAATGCTCAAGCTGTGGGGAAAGAGGACAATCATAGGTCACACGAACGTGTGGGTGGAGAGGCCTGCGGGGCGCAGGGTGGCCGTGTCACCCTGGACCACCTCCCTGACTTCTTCAGGTCTCGCCTTCCCATCTCAGATTGGGAGGTGGTGACAATACTAGCTGCCCTCCTGTGTGTCCCCCGGGTGCCCTCGGCACGTCCTTCTGAGGGCTGATAGACACTACCTCAGGCCGGCGTTAAGTGGTGCCACTAGACAGCTTAGATGTCCTGTGGCACCTAGCCCCCTCCCTGCCCTGGGAGGCAGACACTGTCCCCACCTTAGGAAGGAGGAGACTCAGGGTCAGGAAGTTAAGTGGCTGACCAGGGTCGCCCAGGAATCCCTCGGGTGTGAGACAGGTGCTCTCAGACATGCCAGGGCTCAACCCCAGGTGATGTGAGCCAGAGATGGAGCACTTCCCGCTGGCCACTCCCTGGGGGACACTTCCCAACACCCCCACCCTCTCTGGGTCACACCCCTGCCTCCCTGGCTCACTGGGCTGTCCCCCACTCACTCTCCTTGTGAGTCACTGGTTCGACCCGGAGATAGCTCACGGTGATTCCTCCGATTCCTGGCCTCTCCGGAGTGTCACCCTTCCATTGCAGACCACACTCCTGCTGTGTGGCCAAACAAAGACCTCTAAGTCCCCGGCTTCTCGGCTTCTCGTTTGGAACCCCCTCCTTGGCTTCAGGGGTACCCCTCTGAGTGTGCACCCGATGGTCACGACTTAAGCCACTCTCCTGCCAGTACCCTCACTGAGTCACAGAGGAACCTTCCCTCCTTCCCCACCATGGCGTAAGCAAACTAGAAGTTTATTTTTCTCACATGAAATAAGTCTGAGTTAGGCTCTTAGGGCGAGCTCCAGTTTCATGGGGAACTAAGTTCCTTCCAGCTTTCCGCTCTATCATCACCTTGGTCCTCATGGTCCTGTGTGGCTACTGGAGCTCCAGTCATCAACACCAAGTTTCAGGTAGCAGAATGGAGGCAGCGGAAAGAATCAGTAGGGTGACAGTACCTCCCTTTCAAGGCTGTGACTCACATGACACTGTCACTTATATCTAACAGCCACAACTTGGTCATATGACCACAGCCTTTTAGCTAGGTGGGGAAGGGGGGGGGAGTGCTTTCCCAGGTGAAACACAGCATTCTGTTATTAGAGGGAAGAATTAGGTGTTTGGAGGCAGCCGACAGTGCTTGTGGCTGGCTCGCTAGGGCTGCTGAGACGAGGCGCCGGGGTGGACAGGCGGCTTAGACGACATTCATGTCTTCACAGTGTTGGGGGCTAGAAGTTGGAGGTGAAGGTGTGGCTGTTCTGAGGGCTCCGGGGGCTGTCTTCTCCCCGGTGCATGTGGCCTTCCCTCCTGAGGGTCTGCATCCCATTCCCTCTTCTTTACAAGGACACCAACCATTCTGGACTGGGGACCACCCTAATGACCTCACTTGAACTCTGTCACCTCTCTGGATGCTCTCCAAATACAGTCACTTCTGAGACACTGGGGACAAGGACCTCAACACATGAATTTGGGGAAGGGGAGGGCACATTCCATCCCATAGCATCCTGCCACATTTCTGATCCAAAACCACCGCCACCGTGAGATCAATCCAGCCGTCCAGGCTCTCTGCAGAGGTCCAGCAGAAAGAGCCACAACCCAGCAGCCTGGACATGGCAATGGTCTAACCCCAATGAGCACCATGGAGCCAGGAAGTAAGAGTGGAGGAGGGGTAGATCCCAACAGGGCCTGGGCTGGGGACAAGCAGGGACGGGCCTCTTAAGGGGGGGCGGGGCACGAAGCTCCAGCCCATCGCTGCCTCGTCGAGATGCAGCCTCTGCATTTCAGCCTTTCCAAAAAGTTTAAACGCAATGCCAAATATTTTATGTGACTTTTCCAAATTTTATATCTTGGCAACCAGTTCATTTAAAAAAAAAAAAAAAACACTTTCCAGGCCAAATATAACACATCCGAGGGTGGATCTGGGCCATAGGCCACTGCCTGTGGGCTCCAATTCCAGCTGGATTCTGGAGTTCATTGTACACATATTTACTGAGCTCTTTTTAAGACTCAGGGCCCCACCCCCCATCTAAACAAGGACATATTACTAAGATAGATACTTCGATGATCAGCATAGACCTCTGTATATGCGTGTGTGTGCGTGTGTGCGTGTGTGTGTGTGTTTGTGTGTGTGTGTGTGTTTGTGTGTGTGTGTGTGTGTGTGAGAGAGAGAGATATTGCAAACTGGTGAAAACTATGCATGGAATGAATAGGGAGCTATGACAGATAATAACAGGGAACTCAAGAAGACTATAGATTTATGATTGTGGAAAAAAATCGTAGGGAGGTGACCCTTGAGGTGTAAAAACTGGAGAATAATCAGTGGGGAAGATGTGCTGGGATCAGAAGCCAGCTTGTGCAAAGTCCCTGGGGTGCTAGGAATGTGGTTCTTTTCATGTGAAAGAAAAGACAAAGACAGAACTCCTAGGGCCTTGTAGGCCTGGGTGAGGATTTTGTCATTATTTTCCCTTTTCTCTCAACAAGGTAAGGGCAGATGTTTCAGGAGAGGGTTTCTGTCTGAGAGAGAGACACCCAGGAGGCAGAAGCAGGGACTTGCCAGGCTTCCCAGTAGATAGATGAAGAAGGCAGGAAGACAGGATGTGGTAGTAACAGATGAGTGCAGAAAGGACAGCATGACAGCGAGCCCTGTTGAGTGGGTCAGAGGAAAAGGCCGCCCCTACAAGGGCCCCTCCACTCTCCAGGGTCCTTTGAGGACGCCTTTCGTGCTGCTGCAGAAGAAATGAAGAAGGCCATTCTACAGCTTAAAGAAGGTAAAATAGATTCCAGCCTCCTCCCGGCCCCAGATACACACAGCTGGAAAACCCCACTCCTGAAAACCCTGACCACTCCGTACAATCCCCTGGTGGACTCTGAGCTGGAGCCCTTGGTAGGCAGCTGTCCATCCAGCCTGCACCACTCGGCATCTGGCCCTGCCCCTTGGACCGCAGGTGTCCTTCCAGTTCCATCAGTTTTAGCACGGTGCGGACCAGACTTGTCCAGGCCTCTTCCTGGATCTCAGTGTGTGCCCCCACCCCCGCCCTCTGAAAGATTCCCTCTCCAACTGGATCTCCTTAGTGGACTAGACTGGCCTTACCTCTTTAACTCCGCCTCCTAATAATTAGGTCTTGGCTTCTCCAAGGATCGCCAAGCATCTAGTCCTGCGCCCCCTGTGGAATACACTAATGATGTCCCCTCACTCCTCAGGGCACAGGTGTGATACATGTCCCCTCTATCCTGAACAGGCCTAAGTCTTACTTCCTCACGCGGCCCTGAGGACGTGGCCCCGCCCCTAGGTGGAGCATTGAGGGCCTGGCCTCGCCCCTTGGGTGGCGCTCTGAGGCCCCGGGCCCGCCCCTGGGTGGGGCATTGCAGATCTAGGCTGGGGGAGGGCCCCAGACCTGGCTCCGCCCCTTAAGGGAAGGTGTCCGGCCTGGTGCCATCCTCTAGCGGAGCTGTAGATTGAGTCCCTCCGGCGATTTCTCGGGTAGTAATGCGTCCCCTCTCTCCGCAGTTCAGCCCTGCATCCCTCCCTGCGGTAAGGTCTTAAATACGAATAGGATCGCGGAGAACAGGGGCGGTCGGGTCGAAATCTGGGAGTTAAGGTGGCAGGGCATGGGTGGGCTTCAGACCAGAAGGAAGCCAGGTTGCTTTAAAAGCTCAAAGAAGACGGTTCCGGGGTCCCCAAGTAAACCCACGGGAGGTCTAGAGGATGGCCAGGAGTGAGAAGCACCTCAGGAATGACGCGGGGAAGGCGGGTCACTTCCACCTGGCCCATAGGACCCAAGGAGCCCACAGTTGACCAAAAGAACAGCAGATCCCGCGTCCTCGCCCCATAGGGGTCCAGGAGGTCGCCCGGCGTTTCTTTTGCAACAAGTGCTTCTCCAGTCTATGCAAACTTCCGCTGGACTGTCCAGGTGAGGGGCGGG